CAAAACTCTGACGCAGGTAAAGGAAAACCCTCGTGCTCCTCACGCTCTCACCCCTCGACAAACCGCTGTTCTGGATGGTGCTGTCCTTGGTCATATAGGATTGAATCTCCCCTGGGATACGGTCATCAAACAACGCTAGCCATGGAAGGAAAACTTCCAGGTACTCAACCCAGGTTTCAATCTCAGCCTTCCTGCCCTTTGCCATCCTAGTCCCATCCAAAGTAGGCAGCTTCGGGATGTAAGCTTCAGCCTTGGGGTTCCTTATAGGAGCACCCTCGTCAACATCCATGGAAGAACCAGAGATGTCGGACAGGCTTCCAGTCCCTTTTCCCTTGGTCTCCCTCTGGCTTTCCCTCGACACCAAACCCTCAACTAGCGTGACCATCTGGCTGATCTGCTTCTGCTGCTCTTGCACCGTATGCATCAACAGCGATTCCAGTTGTGAAGGTGCCGCGCCCTGAGCGCTCGGCACTGGTGACGGTACTAACCCCGGTGGAACCGTAAAGGAGCCAGTAGGAGGAACCGGAGTTCCAGGCTGTGACCCCGCAGGAGACCCAGTTGGGTGGAACCCTGGTGGCGACCCTGCAGCGGAAAGGTGGGAGATTGGGCTGTAAGCAGGTCCAAATCCCGCTCCTCTAGGAACCGAAGAAGGTCTCGCTCGTCTCTCCGGGTATGGCATATCAGAGCCACGACTCGAACGTCTGACAACTCCAGGGGTGTCATCCCTAGTCATGTCATAAAACGACGGTCTTCCTCGCCCTTCCATGCTTCACCGACGCAACGAAAACCCTCAACTCAGTTGTAAAACTTGCGTATTGGGCTCACTTCTCTCAAAGCGGTCAAGCGTGCGTCCCAAAGGATCAAACACGCTCCGCTACCACGAAAAAGAACGAAACTGCAACAAGCCCCAGCAAAACCCCTTGCCAAGCACAACACTCGGACAGAGACCTGCGTTTTTGCTGCACTCCACACGCAGTTCCTGTCTTGAGCCAAGTCGGCACAAAGTCTTCTAGGAAACTGAAGTGCAAACTACCTAAAGGTGGCTCGGAGCTCTTTAAACAACTTCCCATGGGCCAAAAGCACCCTGGCACTACCAAAACTCCTTAGAACGTCCGAAAACAAGGAAAACCTACAGGACCTACGGCTTTAAAGCGAAAAGAGCCTCACACTCCAAGCCAGGAAACTAGCCGAGAACTGTTCAGGTTTCTACAGGTGAGCCGGACGCCCACCATATCCTCCCAAATCAGAGGATATACGTTTACACGCCCTTGCAGTGGTCGCAGGGCAGGTCCACCCACATGAGATCCGCCAGCTTGCCCTCCTCCGTGGGGACGATGCAGTCCAGGGGGCAGAACACAGGCAGGGGGGAAGGCGTTGGCCAGGCCGTTCTTGCGCGGCACACGTCGATGCCCTGGCAGGGTCGGTCGAGATCCCAGCTGAAAGACCAGCGGCGGCAGCCTGGGACTGGCCGCATAGTTCTGGTACGTAGCGACAGAACTGGCTCTCGAGAGTGGTGCTGTGGTTGCCCTCAGGCTCTTGGCGCGGTGACACTCCAGGCACAGGGCCTGCAGCTCCTGCTGCTGTCCGGATGTTTATTATTTTGCCTCCTAGGATACCCTATGCATTTTATCATGATTTGCTTTATCATATTTCATGCACTCATGAGTTTCACACTGAGATTGTGCTTTACTCCGCAGGCGTCTCTGAGGATTCGAACATTTTCATGGTAGCGGAGCTTGGGAAAGCCCAAGCTTCGAGACACGTCTCGGGGCTCTCTTGCACATTGCGTTGCGAAGTGCGTTCGGGGAGCTCAGGCTTCGGAAAGTTTGTCCTAGACCTTTGGGGATTTCTTTTTCCGTTAGGATCTAGGTAGGATCGCAATCCCGGCGCAGACCGGACGAGCCATAGCGTGCTCAGACAGAGCAAGGCCACGGCGTCTCTTGCTGCATTGGAGGAAGTGAAAGAGAGACTGCACAGCCTTTACGTTGAGCAGCTTTGCGAAAGGCCACGGCCAGAGGGCAGATCCGGTTCTTCTTGGGATAAGATTTTATCGACTTTTAGAGTTGCTTTTGAGCGGAGACTTGAAGAGCTGCAGCAGTTGAGTGCGTTTGGAGGTTTGCGACCAAGTGCTTGAAGAAACAACATTTGAGAGAAGTTTTTGAGGCATTCGCACCTGAAGACGTTGCTGAGAATTGCATTTCAGAGGAGTTGTGCTGATTTGCAGGAGCTTTTGAGAGCTTGTGCTGATTGTGAGCTGCCAAGTTCTTCAGCTGAGCCGAAGCGTGCATTCAAGCGCCGATTGCAGCAGCAGGACTCTGTGATTGAGTTGGATTGATTTCCTTGAATTTCTTGATCAGACAAAGAAGAGATGGATCCGCAAGGTCAGAATGTGTATGAGGGGCCGCAGTTGCCCCAGCAGCCGGCAGGCAGTGCCGGTGTTGAGCCGCCAGTGACAGAACCCGTTCTCGCCAGTGGAGCAGGGACAGCAAGCACCACAGCAGTTTGTGCAAATCGACATGACACAGATGCAGTTGCTTATGGCACAGATGGTTGAGACGGCGCAAGCAGCGTCACAGGCTGCTCAGGCAGCCGTTGCAAGGCCTTCGAGCAATTTGACTTCGGGATTTTGGGATGCGAATAAGATTCTTAATCGCCCTTCGGAATTTGGATCCGGTGTGCACGACAACGATCTTGCAAATTGGTCTGAATGGAGCCACTCATTCAGAACGTGGCTGGTTTTCGCTGAAAGCCAGTTTGAACAGGACCTTAAGCTTGTGGAGGACAACTTGCAGGGCCCTGTTGATCTGACTGGGGCTTCGCCTGATCGCATTGCCAGGTCTCAGAGGCTCGCGATTCTTGCAAGCATTCTTCGTTCGAAGCCAAAAGCGATTTTGCGTCAGGTCAGCAACAGAAACGGCCTAGAAGTCTGGCGGGTGCTCACCAATACCTTCGCACCCAAATCGAAATTCAGAGGACTTGCTCTCTTGAATGCTCTTATGACGCTCCCGAGCTTCGGGAAAGATCGCAGCTTGCGGGAACACATCCAAGGCCTCGAGAGAATAGCTGAAGAAAACCAAAGGGTCACTGGACACGCTCTCTCTGGGGAGGGTGTTCCAGCTCTCCACTCTGTGTTAGCTACAAGCCTCAGTTCGAGACATAGGGTAGAATTCGGTCTGACGATCTTAGGGGCTCTAAAGTCTTTGCAAAACGGGCTTTAGAGGAACTTTAAGGGCGCGCCACTTGCCAGCAGCCGACGAGTGCTCGCCGGCAGCTTGCGAGCTGCTTACTGGCAACTTACGAGCACTCGCCAGCAGCTTTGCCGGCAACTCACGAGCTGCTTGCTTGCAACTCACCGGCTGCTCGCTTGCAACTCACGAGCTGCCTGCTTGCAACTCACCGGCTGCTCGCTTGCAACTCACGAGCTGCCTGCTTGCAACTCACGAGCTGCTTGCTTGCAACTCACCGGCTGCTTGCTTGCAACTCACGAGCACTCGCCAGCCGCCTACGAGCCACTCACCAGCTGCCTGCTTGCAACTCACGAGCTGCTTGCTTGCAACTCACGAGCACTCGCCGGTTGCCTACGAGCAACTTAGGAGCTGCTTGCTTGCAACTCACGAGCACTCGCCGGCTGCCTACGAGCAACTTAAGAAGCTGCTTGCTTGCAACTCACGATCGAAGTGCTTCCGATGCCGCGCGCGCCCGTTTTAAGCACTTTCGAGCCCCTAAGATCGCGAACCGTACGGCCTCCAGCCCTCAAAATCGACAGACCCTCCGAGTATCGAATTCTACCCTATGTCTCGAAACTAGCCTCGTCGCTTCTGCAGAGTGGAGTCCTGGAACACCCTCCCCAGAGAGAGCGAAACTGACACTTGTTCGTTCTTTTCTGGCCCGAAGAGCCGACTGACACGACTGACAACCTGACAAGCCTTTTTCCCGGGGTCCAGAGATTTTTGGGTTGGCCTCGACTCCTGGCAGGTCCGTCGCGTTTCCTGTCGCGTCGCGTCTATCCTACTCTACCCTAGTGGGGCACGCCGGGGCCTAGGGCCGATGATCCACCCTTTGTGGGGAGAGGCTCTAGGTTGTGGCACGGCGGTCCCAGCAAGCTCTGAAGCCTCGCCGCCCCCGCCAGGCCTGTGTGCCTGGGCGGGATACCCTCTCAGTCCCCCTCCGAGGGGAGCTGTCGGGCAACGGAATGCTGCCCGTTTTTTTGCAGCATCTCCTGGAGGACTGTTCCTGGCCATTTGTCCCTGGGCGCAAATTCGCGCGGGAACAAATTTCAAAAGTTTGGCTTGTTCCTGGAGGAATTTGTCCCCGGGCGCAAATTTTCTCGGGAACAGGGCGACCCGTATTTAAAAATTGTTCCCGGGCGCTTCTTTTTCCGGCGAAGGCGTCCGCGATGTGAATTTGCGCTCCCAGGATGTGGATCCGTGTTTCACTTGTATCTATGTACAAAATCATTCCCATGATGTAGATTTGACCACCTTAAAGACCCCATAGTACTCACACAAACACATATATATTTTTATATATGTATACACACACGTACACATAGATATAAATATATATATGTGAATAGTTTTCCATATCTCGACTCCTTCTTTCCATTCGATCGATCTCTTTTTCTCGCTCCTCGATTTTTCATTTGATGGTCACAAAGAAGACCGATCCTTAGAATATGTGCGGACAACGGGGTTCCACAGTTTGCTTTGGCAGATATATCTGGTTTGTGGCAGCCAAGTATTCATAGCGATGTTGCTTTTTGATCCTTCGATGGCTCTTCCTATCTATCCATTGAGACAGGCGCTGCTTGTGCACTCCTGCAGTGTTGGCATTGCATGTCCGCTGTGATGTCTGCTTGCACGCAACACATGACATATGACGCAGAAATCTCAGCGGCTTGCAATGCACTGCTTCCTGCATGAAAGCAGCACTGGCATCACAGCTTTTTGCTTTGCTCCATCTCTCGCAAACAGGGGTTTTGCGCACTGATCGAAGAAGCCATGGATCGCATAGATTGCTGCCGAGCCTTGTCAGCTGCAGTTATCCTGGTATGCGGTCTTAGCGTGTCCAATGTCAAGCAGCTGGCTTGCTCAGAGATGACAGTCCTGCGGGACTGTGTGGATGCAATGCAGGATTTGTCTGTGTGGACCGAGATTTGCGATTTATTGTACTGGTGGAAATGTGTACTTACATTGTGCATAGAAGCTTTCTCCCGTGCAGATGTGGAGACCGGAAACTTTCCCTGGCCAGCCAAGCTCCCCCAGCTGGCGGTCTTCGAAAAGGCAAAACCCGATCGTCTGCCTGTGGCCAAACTGTTGGAAAGATGGACGATGGAGCAAGAGCAGCTCCTGTTCTGTCGTTTCAATTCAAGCGTTGAACTTGTGCGGAAGCTCTTGGACAATCTTCCGGATGTAGAAGAGGTACGCCACTAGACCCAAATGGTGCGGTGATGATTTCTTCGTCATGCATGTCTGTTTTGCCCCCTTCCTCAAGTCTAATCAAGGCATTCGCCTGGAATTGCTTCATGTGCATATGACCGACATGATGATCTACATGCACGAGCACATCCAGCTTCGCTCTATGTCGGTGCTTACGTGGCTTGTGTGCATTTACCTGAGTTTCATTGCAGGGGTATATACATGCGTTGAAATGCATGCATTAAAGATTGGCAAACCCATTCTGAAGCCGAGGCCTGCTGAGAAACTGGAGCTTCAGGAATTGATGGAGAATTTCTTGGAGGCTCACAAGAAGCTTGGCTAATGTCTGGCGATTCATCATGTTGCATGGGTTGCAAACTTGTGGGGCGCATGGCTTTTGAGCAAGGCCGGAATGATGTTGGCGCGATGGTTCGGGCTGTCTGTGTGGACTGAGGACAGAATGCATGTGCATGCTGTTTTGCATATTCAAAGATTGGTGACCATAATCGGTGCATCTGATTTTTGGATTCGGGGTATCATTCGCATCTTGCATGCACTTTCTCCGTGCACTCTTGATGGATCGAGCCGAAGCCTTCCCTGAAGCATGGAACCATGCATGATGTGCACTCATGGCATGCGTGGCCAGATAGTAGGTCATGATAGTCTAGACGGTGCATTGCAGGCGTGCAATGACATAACTCGAGATCCTGCTTTGATTCATCTCGCTATAGCTGCAGCAGAGATTGCGATGAAGCGACCTGCAGCAGCACATGGTGGCAAGATGAAAGCCCCCAAGGCCATGAAGACGATGAAAGCCGCCAAGGCCATGAAGACGGTGAAAGCCGCCAAGGCCATGAAGACGATGAAAGCCACCAAGGCCATGAAGACGACCAAGGCCATGAAGACGATGAAAGCCACAGAGGCCATGAAGTCGATGAAAGCCACCAAGGCCATGAAGTCGGCCATCAAGAAGCCCTCAATGGCTCAAGTGCAGAGCGATTCGGATGCAGACACTTCGGATGCAGACCCGCACTTGTTGAAGAACATCAAGGACGGACAGCCATGGCCCGAGAAAACTGGCTTAGACATTGTGCTCGAGGACATGCAGATTCAGCAGCGCAGGGAAGCCAATTTGGAGAAGCTTCGTGCGAGAATTGCACGCGGTTGGGATGAAGAGTCATCCTAGGGCTGTATAGGGCAGTGCGACAGCATGGTGGCTCGCAGAAAAGGATTGCATTGCTCGGCGGCCTCGCGATTCCTGGTTTAAGTGTAGGATCCTCGACCTCGGCGCATGAATCCCAAAAAATCGCCGTGCAGGACTGCAGTGCTGGCATCCAAATTTTGATCTGGTCATGGCTATGTTGGGCGGCTTGGCATGCAACTCTTGTGCTTCGGCTTTTGGCTTTGCTTGTAACTGAGGTTTTCTTATAAACTTCCACGATTTTGGCTATTGCTTGGCCGCCTCCGGTCTTGAAAGAAAGTCTGTGCCCTCCCGTGAAAGCCACAGTGCATGCGAGGTTCGTGTGCGAAAATTAAATGAAGCCCAGGATTCCCGGCCATGTGGATTTTGGATTGGTTGGAAGCTGCCGGTCGTTGTGGCTGGGTCCAGGACCGATGTATTCTAAGAAGATTTATTGTCGCAGCTTATTGTGTTTGCCATCTTGGTTGCAGGCTGGATCGATGGCGACGTTGACCTTCAATGTTGGATGGTTAATTCCGGGTCCGACTGCCTTCGACATCCCGCGAGAAAGGACGCTGCGATCGATCGTGTCTCCTGTTAAATTTACAGGCATTCATGATGGGTTGGTTGTCCCGATTCAGTCTGCAGTCGTGATCACGTTGCACTTTCATGCACCCTCGCTGTTTCAGTGCTAGGGGCCAGATTGACTTGCATGCACCTGGCTGATTAGAAGCAGCAGCTCATGTCGTGCATTATGCAGTGTGTTGTTTATATCCGGGGCCCCGGAGAGTTCTCTTTTCGCTGCTAGCGGCATGCCGAAGCACAATAAAAAACTCATCGATGACCTCCTCGCGGCCTGGAAAGACCTCGACTCCTGTGAGGATCGACACATGCCATGTCAGACATGTTGGTGGGACGGGGGGGTTGTGGATCCACGCATGCTTTGTGCACATGATGCATCATCAGGATTTCATCAAGCTGCCGCCGGATGACTCCGATAACAACAAGGAGGACAACCAGGACCAGGAGGAGGACACCAAGGATGATAAGGACGACTTTCAGGAGAAGATGGATCAGCTGAAGCTCAATGAACATGTGCTGGGACCGATGCTCGCTTGCACGCCGTGTCTTTCGTCGTCATGCTTGTGTGTCTTAATTCCCTGAAAGCAGTGTTCCTCGCAGGTCTTTGCGATGCTTCGAAAACAAGGGTTCCGTGTATAACCTGGACCACCTGGAGGAAGCCCTCAAGCAAAAGAACCCCGACGTCCCGGGAGATCTCCAACATGCTCAAGCTTGTGCTTTGAAGGGGCAATCTCAGTATGTCATCCGCTTGGCGAAGAAGTCCAAGAAAAGCCCGGCACCCGTCATGGTCCGACTGAAGGTGGGCTATTTCTCAGGGTGTGCACGCATGCAAATAGCACGTGACACGGCTGCTATGCTGCAGGCCTGCTGTGGGCCGAAGCTGCTGTCGACAACGAAGAGGAAGCCTTCTTTGAAAGGCATCAATCCAGATGCCATGGAGACTCAGCCGGTCAACGAAGGAAGCATCCCGGCCGTTGCAGCACCGCATTGCCTTGCAGAGGTGTTGCTTAAATTGGAGACGGCCCCAGAACTTGCTTTCCCGCACCATCTTCAGTACAAGAAGCCCTTCCGAAACCTCGTCTCCAGACATGACGCAGGAACTCGATATACTAATTAATTCACATGATGGATGTGTACCCTGTGGCACCAACCTTTCAACATCAATTAATTTTGCTGCAGCAGGAGAGATGGATCTGCTAGCCTCCCGCATCGCTGGCGATGCTGAAGCAGTGCCTGCTCCAGATGCCGAAGGATCGCTTTTTGCGTGATTATGGATGAACCCAACCCATGCTCCTCATGCAGATTCTTCCACGGTGCAATGCATGGGCATGGAGTGCAGGTCTGTCCCCTGGACAAGACGATAATGAGGCTCGATTGTGAACTTTTGCAGTGTTGAGCTCATTCTGTTTCCCAGACGTGTATATGTGTGCTTGCAGGAGCAACAGGATGACTTGGAACAGCAGTTGGAGGATCCGTGTCAGCTGTCACTGTTGATCTTAAATCATTTTGCTGATTCCATGCAGGAGTTGATCGAGGAGGCATATGCTCCCGCAGCCGAGGTGCCGTTGTTTCTGCTAGGTGAGAAAAACCTGCCAGTGCATATGTGTGTACATATATATATATATATAAGATGCATGCAGAGGTCTCTGCAATGCCTCCGTCGCACCAGAAAGATGCTCCTGCTGCATCTTCTGATCAGGAATTCCGTGGGTGCATGCATGTACTTATTCACACTACACAATTTAAAGTCGCTTGTGAATGTGCGGCATTGCCTGGGAGGACGTTCCGGTCGCTGCACCGGCTGTCGTTAATGCCGAGGCAGGGCTCACCGTTTGAGACACGAAAAACAATCTTGATGCATGGAGGCCTCTGCAGCTCCTGGCATCGAGCAGCCGAGTGCTGGATGCAAGAAGGCTGTGACCAGCCTTATTAATGGCTGGGCTGTATATCCTACTGTACGCTGCCATCCGCCTTGATTGCAGGCACCGAATCAAAAAAAGAAGCGAGCTGCAGCGAGTGTGAATGCAGAGGCCGCTGAGGATGCCCAGCCCGGCTTGCACGATTGACCATTTTTCTGCGATTGCATGCTGCAGGACAAGTCAAGTGGCGGTGTCAACAACCCCATGATGATCGCCTACCGAGCGTTTTGCTCCGAGTGCCTGAAGGATGGCTATTCCATGGGCTGCGGCCCAGATGTGGCGGGTGTCCAACCTGCGGAGGCACGTGTTAACTCAGAGAGGCGACCGGATCCTCGTGAATATTGCTGCAGGTCGATGATCGAAGCCATGAGCGAGAAGCAACGCAAGAAGGGTCGCTTCGAGCTCTGAGGTGTTTGCTCCAGTCGCCTATATGTCCTGCTAGTTTTTCAGATGTTGACTTCTCGCAGGACGGACTTTTTCGACTGGGTTGCGGGCATGTACGACATGCCTGTACGGGTGTGTTGCTGGACTCCTCTTGAGGGTTCCGCAGGCCGGGTATTTTGGGTGTCTGGACTGGATCGAGTTCAATCATTCTATGCTGCAGCTCATGGTGCATGCAGGGGAATATCTCGTGGCGGGGCTGCCTGATCTTTCGATCCACATGTGCGCCGAAATGCCCCATCGGAGTGCTCGTGTGCGAGTGTCTCTGCCTGTGTACGTGTGTGTCTTTTGAATGCTCATGTATACGCTGTGCATTATGTTTCCAGGATCCTTCGCATGTATACATAGACAGATTGTGCAAAGCTGTTGCGATGCTGCCTGGGCGATTCATGTGCACAGTGTATAAACATGCTCAACATAGGTTGCATGAGGCATCCTGCCACAGACTCCGCATTAGACGAACGTGAATTCCTGACCAAAGCAATGGTATGGCGGCCCGATGTGGCGGCCATGTTGGGCATGGGAATTCCCCGGGTGCTCATTCTCACATGCTACCTCCTCTCCTGCTGTTCCCAGTTTGAATCTTCGCTGCATGGATTCTGTTGAAGTATACATGGCTTTGCATGGGAACAGCATTGCCAACCTGTTGTCCGAGGAACTGGAGCTCCGGGATATTGCCGTGCTGGAGTTGTTCGCTGGACTTGGGGTCCCTCGAATTATGTCCCGTTCGTGAGCCACCTGTTGGATGTGTTCGTGTGCACGCCTCTCTGTTTTTGACTAGGTCTACATGCATGAGGAGCATTCTGTGTGCATGTGTTGTTGAGCACATGGTCTGAGGCTGTGGTACGTGAGGCGGATCGACGTGGATTCCAAACCGCTGCCCTGGACTCCAGCAGAGATGATGCTATGAACGTGCTGAGTCCTGTTGGCTTCCTGTCACTTCGCAGCATGTCTCAGTCTTTTGCCACATGTGCCGTCGACAGGAGGCTTTCGTGTTCATGTTGCAAGTGTGACCTCAGGGCTTCACTTCTGTGTGTGCTTCGCATGCAACATGGGGGCTTGCTTGTGGCGAGGCCACCTTGTGACAAGGCTGCAGGTGCACGTACATTTGTCTTGAAATGTAATATGTATATATATATACACACATACATAATACTATATACCCTGATCAGATAGAAGAGAATATAACTTATTATATATCTTTCGAAGCTGTCATTGGACAAAGCTTAGACATGTCTATTTCTGGCCGCTGATCTACTCTCGTGCCACACACTTGAGGTTCTTATTCTTGCCTATCGCGAGTCGACAGATGCTTGCTTCGACAAGAGGGAGTACAACAGTTCCCCAAGGCTTCCGAGGGCAGCCTCATCTCTGCCAGGACGCCTAATTGCACATATTTCGTTTGAGAGGCATATGCAGAAATTGTTCGGGTAATTCTGCTGTGTGTGATCAACTTTGCCGAGCCGCGACAACTATTAGGGACACCCGATTTCGCTGGGATTCGTACTTGAAGAATGTAGCAACCGTGACAGTCCCAGACCCATAGGTTTTTTAGCAAATAGGAATTTTCGGTCTTTGAGATGGCTTTGCATGTGGTGTTTAGCAGACTCTTGTGGTTCTAGGTCATTGGACAGTTCTGATTTGTTTGCTTTCCGTGGTTTTCCCACTGTCCAAACACTAAAGCATTGGGAAAGATGCCTGAGTTTTGATTTCTCGGAGGATTGTTTTTTCGTCCTGTCCGAAGTTTGCTCGGAAACAAAATTCGACCAATGATGGGGCTCACGCAGTGCTCAAGTAGTCGATCTGTGAAAAGTGCAGTGAAACAGTTCCGCTTTTGTTGGTCGGTAAAGTCTGAACCAGTCACAAGGTCCGAGTGCGATATTATTTTGCATGTGAGACGCAAGGATTCAAGCAAACCCTTGTATTGCACGAGCATCTTGTGGGACTTTGGCATGAACAGAACCAATAGAGTGTTTCATTGTGTGAATTTCCAGGGACTCACACGTTTTCGTGTTTGAGACGCATGGGAACCAGGTTTTGCGAGATAGTTTCGAGAACATGCAG